AATTTCTTTTGTTTTCATTTTACCACCTTTGGTCTCAAAACATATTGAATAGCATTTGTTTGGAGAGAGAAAACCAATAAAGCAGCATGGGCGCGTAGAGAGATTTGTTTAGAGAGAGAAAGCTAATAAAGCAGCATTGGCGCGTAGAGAGAGAAATTTCTAATAACGGTTGATGAGTGATGAAGAGGTAGCACTTAGAAGTATAGAGAGAAAGAAGTAATTTCTTAACATTAAAAAAGAGAGAAATATGGAAACGGGGAGATTTCTTAACATTAAAAAAGAGAGAAATATGTAAACGGGGAGAGAGAAGTAATTTCTAGAGAATATACATGGCAAAAGATTTCATGCTCCCGAAGGAGCACTCTGTCCATTTACTCCCTCTAGTAACTCAATCTAGGAGTAGTTTTAGGACCCCAAATTTGAGGATGTAAGCTCTTCACCATATGTTTCACTCCATTATAAAATTTCCAAAATCTCATGCTTTGTGGACTTGAAAAAAAGAACGGCACGAGATTGAATAGAAACCATCTAATTTTTTAACGGTTAGAACTAATTGTTATATAACTCAAAATTAAAAAATATATATTTCCCATAATCCTGAGAGAGAGATGATTTGGTATATCTCAGAGAATGTGAACATGAGGGCCGACAATCGTAAATGAGAGTTTGGGAAGAAGCATGGTTGAGGGAGACCAAATATTGGGCATAAATATGGGGGGAGGAAGAGAATGATGCATTGATTTCATAGTTGGTTCTCCATGCAATGGAGTTTGTGCTGGACCATATGCATCAAATCCAAATTTCAGCTATTCATTTCAAGAAATCCAATGTATTAGCCATGAGAGAGATAGAGGAGGAGAGAGATGAGGAGGAGGGGCACAAGGCATGTATAATGGGGGTGTGTGTGAAAGAGAAGGGGGCGGGTCATACAGGGGTGGTTGGGGAGTAGATGTCAGGCGATCATTAAGAGAAAGAGACTCACATAGATTAAGAGAGAGAGGCGGGTTCACACAGAGAGGAGAGAGGTTCAAAGAGTGACATGTAAACATGTTAGTTTGACATTAGATTTTACGTTTTTTTTTTTATTATAAGATTGGACTGGCGTTAGTCAAAAATAGTTCAACTACTGAACTAATTAAATCAATTTTTAAAGAATAATAAAAATTAAAATTTAATAACATAAAATATTTTGTAAAAGATACTTACTTTGTTCATTAATCCTCTAAAACCAAGCAAAACTTGATATCGACTAATTATCTGTCAAACCCAATTTTTGTTTTAGACCGAACTGATAAAAAGCTACTTGATGATCCAATCAATTCGACCTAGCGGTCCAAACAAACCAAGCGATCTGGTCGTGTTCGTAACCATGCTTTTAATCACTCATGTAACAATCTAATTCCAAGATATTAGCAGGTATGTAAGGTATAACTTAGAACAAGGGAAGCAGAGAGAGTGACCTGTGTTTAGGGGTCGAAATGGACCCGGACACAACCCGGGAACCGAGGGGTAACCCCAATATGGATCTGGTTATGGGTCCAAAAATTGGACCATCCAAACCCAGACCCGGACCCGGTTGCCACCCCTACCAGTGGTGCCTAAGAGTCACGAGGGTGGAAAATAGGCATCAATATGTTAAGATGTGGAAAACCCATCAATAAGTTACGATGTGGAAAACCCGTGGATAGGACTCAACTAATTAAATCGCGAATATGTTACAATTTTTTTGTATCATATGTTGAACAATCAAAAAACAACATATCCATAATGAGTATAGCTGAGATAAGGATGTTGAAATAGATGAGCAGCAAGATAATGTATGATAGAATTCGAAATGAATACATTTGTGGGAACTTAAAGGTAGCTTCAAAAGGTGAAAAAATAAAAAACAAAGTAGACTTAGGTGGTCTAGTTATATGCATTGTTGATCTAAAGCAGCACTGGTTCAGAAAGGTGATTTTATTTTATTTAAGTGAGAACTCTAAAAAAGCTAGGGGGATGTCCTAATGGACATGGATGGAAGTAATAAAAAAATATTGTGGAATGGCAAGGTTTGTGTAGTAGACTCGAAATAGGTAAGATGATGATGATAATGATATTACATAAAATATTATTTTTGGGGTGATTTGAGCATTCCAGATCTTGTTTAAAATTTTAATTAAAGTGCATAAATTTTAATTGGTTGAGTGAACCAATCAGCTCGCTGAGTTAGATTGGCCGGCTCGGAACCAGGGGGTGACCGGTTCCAATCCAATAGTCCCACATTTCAAATACAACATTGAAAACATACCCTTTGAAAGGCCTTGTGGGAAATTTACGTTGGGATGGGAGTACCTATTACTACTTTTTTAGTTTTTTTTTTTTTATTATTCATGTTTTACCTTCAGCTTGGAAGTTTTACTTTCGAACTGCCTAATACAAGAAAACAATATATTGTACAATTTGAAAATCCAACTTTTATATATAAACATCTCGATAGTTTAACTTTTGAATTGTTTAAATATATCATTTTTTATATATATATTCTGGTCGTTTCGAAAGATGGAATTTCAAAATGTTTGAACGTATATTTCAGGCAACTCGTAAGTCGAACTTTTGAACCTCCCAAATAAAACAATTTTTTGTGTGAGCAATTTTAAAATTCTGAACTAGAGATGAAATAAGGATGACAAACAAGACTCACAAAAGTAAGATATTTGCCCAAACTTTGGACCTTACGGTTATACAACTTATCTCCGGAATGTAAATTTCCATAGCCTTCTTCTCAAAATTTTATGGGTGTAGTTGTATAGGGCTGAGACCCTGAACAATCAAAACAAGAGGCCTTCACATAGTACTGTTGTTTTAGTGTGAGAAATCGTTATGATGGGGTGAAAATTTATTTTCATCTTTGATTATAAGATTTTAAAATTAAAAAATAGTGTAAATCGAGCAAAATTTTGAACACTTGAAAAATCTTGAAAATTGACGGTCTAGTTAATACATTACAAGTACATTAATTTCAATACATAAAATTTATTTGTTCTCATGTTCATACATCTTAAGGTCGAAATGATCGGATTGAGGGTTTTTCATCATTGAAATAACGTGCGCCTTAACTTGATTGTTTTGAGCCTCACTCTTATATGAACTTTTTCTATAGTGAAAATAAAGTTCAAGATGACTTGTTTCTATAGTGTAAACGTGGAAAAGCTCCCCATTAGCAAAATATGAAATTCCCACAAGACAAATCTTGAACCTTAATTGGAAAAATATTCAATGCTACAACTTGGGATTTTGCTAGGGTGCTAACAACTTCCCAGCCATTTGCTGTCAACATGGATGGTTAAGGTGTTTCTTTCATTTGAGAAAATACACAATTAAGATCAAAACTTCAAAAAAAATATACGATATAAATAATGCATACAATAAGATCCTTATTTTTAGAACAAAAAGGTCATAAACACTCTTTACTATCCCACGTGAAATCAAGTACTTAAAATATGTTAGTTCCAAGTGTCCCCCTCTCTTTCTTTCTTTTTTTTCTTTTTTTTTGAACTTTATGAAAAAAAACATCACAGACAAAAAGTAATTGTGACCTTCTTTTACCAAAAGTAAACATTCTTATAGCCCTGATAATTTACATTCTAGTAAGTTTTACCGCTTCATTTCTTATAACCCTGATAATTTACATTCCCGTAAGTTTTACCTCTCCATTTCTAGCAAGGCTTGCGCTTGAGATGTTCAAGAGAATGCAATCCACTTGCTGCCAAGGGTGAAAAATGTCCTCGGAAGAATTTTTTGGATCTGAAAATTTCAAATCTACTTAAGAGTCACGAAATGACAATTTCAAAAAAAAAAAAAATTAATTAAATCTACTTAAGAGTCACGAAATGACAAGTTAAAAAAATAATAATTAATTAATAATTAATTAAATTGAGTTTTCTAACATTTTGCCTCCAAAAATTGGATGTTTAGTCTTGAGACGTTATTTTTCAAGTGTGACTATGAGATTTGAATTTTTCTTCATTTTCTTTGTTTGAGGTTGATTACGTACCTAAATTTTGGGATTTCAAAGTACTCTTAACAGGCTTTGCCCAAGGGAATAAGTGGACAGTATGCTCCCGCGGTAGCAGGAAATCATTTGAGATTTCTACAATACTGGAAAATAAGTACGAATTTCACATATAAGAAGTCAAATGATTAGTGGGAGTTACCACAAAATATTTATGCAGTAAATAGAAAAGGTCAGCCAAGAGGAGAAAAAATAATAAATATATAAATATATAAATAAATAAATTGAATGAATGAAGAGAAAACATAGAAACTAAAAGGGAGAATTGACTCAAGGATAAAACCTTTAAACTCGGGAGAATTGACTCATGGATAAAACCTTTAAACTCTGGAGAATTGACTCAAGGATAAAACCTTTAACCTCCTTTTTACAGGCAAAGTGTTTAAAACTGGACCACGAGCTATAGAAGAGTTTAAATATATTTCTCCTTTTTTCGCTTTATTCATGTTTAATACTTTTGCCGACCCCAAATAATTGGGACAAGGTTTAGAAGATAATGCTGGTAATTCATGTTTAATACTTTTTTTTTCTCTTATTCTTTTTCTCTTTTCATTTTTTACATAATTATTTGCCTTTCTTTCATGTGACTGATTGACTGTCCTCGAGCTAATTGAATCAAAGGATAAGGTTTGAAACAAAGACCTTCCATGAGGTCATCCATCCTAATTCTCAGCCAAGCTATGAAATCTGATCAAATTTTTATATTGTACACAAGTAAATGTCCTTTATTGTTATTATGTTTTGTTTACCAATAATCCTTGCAAGAGCAAGTCCCATATCTAAAATGGTGAAACCTACTTTTATCCCTCACAATAATTTCTCTCTCATACTTCTTGGATAAGAACTAAATGAAAACATGGCAATCACTACATATTCTGAGGTTCTTCATACCCTTATAACACTTCCAGGCTCTGTGCTCATTAGGCCAAATGCAATGGTCAGCTTCTCACTGTAATACCTGACTGCACTCTTCCTTCTCTTCAATGTCATGTAAAACTGGCACGGTTTTCGCTTTGTAGCCAATCTCTCTCACACCCCAATTGATTTCATCCAAAAACGTGCTTATTTGCGCAAATTGTTGGTGCAACGAGTCTCCGACTGTGAATTCGTGAACAGCATTGCTCACCTCGATCAAGCTACAACCCGGAGTTTTCCTGACTCCTCTGTCTCTCATTTCCTTCCTAATAGCATCGACATCTTCCCAATTCTTCCTAGAAGCATACACATTTGACAGGAAGACATAGTTTCCCCCATCCGAGGGTCCAATTCTAAGAGTCTCTTGATCATTCTCTCACTTAATTCGATGTCTTGTGGGCCTCGCAAGCATGAAGTATGCTCCCTAGCACAACTGGGTTGGGCTCGACAGGCATTGTCTCAATGAAGACAACGGCTTCTTTCAAGAGCCCTGCTCGAGCCAAAAGGTCGACCATGCACCCATAGTGCTCGACCTTAGGCTCTATCCCATACTCATCTCTCATGAGAGAGAAAAACCCCTTTCCCTCATTGACCAAACCGGCGTGGCTACACCCAGATAGGAGCCCGACAAAGGTGACCCCATCAGGCTTAATATTGCACTCTGTCATCTATTGAAAGCATCTAGGACCTCTAAGGCATATCCATGCGTTGCCAACCCTGATATAATTGAATTCCAACTGAAAATATTCTTGTGGAGCAATTATTTGAAGATTTGTAAAGCAATATCTAAGCTTCCACACTTCAAATACATGTCTACAAGAGCCATACCTAATACCACATCAATCTTGACCTTCTTGTGTCTCATATAGTCATGAATCCATTTTCCATGTCCAAAGCACCCAAATGAACAAAAGCCTCATTAACTGTCACTCTCTCAACTTGCATCTGGTGAAACAATGAGAGAGCATTAGTAAAGTCCCCAGTGTGGATATAGCCAGATATCATAGTTTTCCAAGTTATCGAATTCCTTGATTCCTCTTTGCCAATGCAAGGATACTAGATTTGCAACATCGTCTCTCGCCGGATTCTTGTCAAAAATCCGGCGAGCAACCTCCAAATTGCTAGATTTACTGTTAGCAAAATTTGATGAAGCATATATGAGATCAAACCTGAGATCAAAGAAGGGGCGCCATGAGGCTGGTGATCGCAGAGCCCAGATTTTTATCCCTTCGCCTTTTAGAGAGATATGTGTCTATTCATTGTTGTACACATCCTCTTTTTGACGTGCCATTTTATAGGGAGAAGAAGAGGTAATCATTGTATTTCTCTAACAGGTCTCTAAGAAAGGAAAGAGATCCATGATCTCCAATGGGTTTCTGAAGGGTTACGTTCATATGGATATGACCGTTGGAAAAAGGGTTACGTTCATATGGATATGATCGTTGGATAAATGAAATTCCGACAAATGTAGACTAAGACACATAAGGTCTCATAGCCATACATGTCAACATCTTCCACTTGGCTATGACGGCCAATGCACACTCTCATTTTTTAGTATGAACTTAATAAGTCATATGCATACTCCTACTTTTGAGTATGACATTTAAGAAAATATCTTGTCATGAAGTTTTTCTCATGCGTTTGCAAATATGCCTCTCATAACAAATGTCTATCATGAGAATTTTCACGCTAATGCAGATGTCTCACTCATGAAAATCATGAGGATTTTCACGCTAATGCTGATTTCTCACTCATGAAAACTGTCTGACTTAAATATTTTTTGAGTCTCATTAAGCTAGTCTATCATGAAGATTTTCACGTTAATGCAGATTTCTCACTCATAAAAACTATCGATTATCATGAAGATTTTCACGCTAATGCGGATTTTTCACTCATGAAAAATGTCTGACTTAAACAGTTTTAAGTCCCAATAAGCTAATATGCTTAGACAGTAGTTCAACACTTCGACCTTTTATTAATGAATCAGCAATCATATATGATGAGGGCAAGTAACTAACAGTTACTTCACATTTCTCAACTACATCCTGAATGTAGTGATATTGGACATCTATATGTCTTCCTTTGGAGTTATTTGCTCCACTTTGAATTAATTTAATTGCGGCTTCATTATCACAAAATGTTTGATCGGTCCGTCAATTATTTACAGCTTCAAGTTATCTATGAAGCGCTTTATCCAAACGGTAAAAGTACAAGTAGTGCTACATGAATGTATTCTGCTTCCTGTGTGCACCTAGCTATACACCCTTATTTCTTACTAGACCAAGAAACAACAGCCCCTCCAAAAGGGAAAATATGTCTTGAGGTGGACTTACTATCATCAATGCCCCCAGCAAAATATACATCTGAATATCCTATAACTTCAAACTTATTTACTTGAAAGTACGATTTTAGATACTTTGTTCCCTTAATGCACCTTAAAACTCTTTTTACTACTTTCTAATGGGTTATGCCTGAATTACTTTGATATCTACTAAGTCTTACGGTATAAATCAAATCTAATCGTGTACATCTTACTGCATATACCTAGCTACCAATAGCTGTGCATAGGGAATGTTAGGCTTTTTTTTGTCTTTCTACTGGACAATCCTTCCTAAATAACTTTACTTCCTTTTCAACATGAATATACAATGTCTTACAATTTTCCATTTTAAATCTTTTGAGAACAAAGTCAATATATCTTTCTTGACTCAAGCACAATAATTTTTTCTTTTCTATTTTTAGTTATTTTTATGCCTAGGATATAAGATGTTTCTCCTATATCCTTTATCTCAAATCGATAAAAAAACTATGACTTTGTCTTATCAATCATTTCTAAGTCATTTTCAGCTATTAGGATATCATCTACACATAATGAGAGTATTGTGAATTTACTCCCACTCTTCAAGACATACGCACAATGGTCCAATCTTTTTCATATCCCATATGTAGGATGCCATCATGAAAAGTTAAGTATCATTTTATTAAAGATTGTTTTAAGCAATATAAAAAATACCGTTGCTCGCCACTTCGAGCGGCATACGACTATTTTTGGCAGGGCCATCTCATAAGGGATTGGACCCTCAAAAAATGACTCGCAATTCACTTAAAAAATATTTCCAATCCTCCGCTCTACCAACTGAGCTAAGGTGGGTTGTTATCTTTAACTCGCTGGTTCGAATTCAATGCGTTTGAAGTCTCACACCAAGAGTCCAAGTCGAAAGTTGCCATGAACAAAGCATCTTACACAGAGAGTGATGCTATCAGCCTACATCGAGCATTGAAATAAGTGGCAAAATATTCAATCTGTTGAGCCATTCCCTTTGAGTTTTCCCAACATTCAGATAAATTTTATTTTGAAAAAGAATACTTACTTTACCAGGGTCATTGCCATCCAATGAAACAATGGATATTGATGGAGAGGGTGTGGGTTCCACCACAATAAGACATGACCCAATTGTGGGACAAACTCTCCATCACCTTGCAATTTTCATCATTTCGTTATAGGTGATGACCCAAATGAAAGATGCTTTTTGCTTTCCATGTTCTAATAGATTTAGTGTATTTTTCCTTTTATCACTAATTTGAGTGAAACAACCAAAATTAATAGTTTTGAAGAATTCAAATATACTTGTGTTATGGGATTTCAAAAAAAAAAAAACATGTATACAAGAACAGTGTTGCTATAATTAATAATTCATATGCTGATGGACATTGAATACCAGTGTTCTAATTCTTGCCAAGCCAACTTGAAATCACCAGGCCAAAATGTTTGTGCTTTAGTATAATAATGCCCAAAGGCAAGCACAAGCACAAATGCCCTTTGAAGGTTTTTTTGACATTCAAAGCAAACCATACTGCACTCTAACTTGCAGCTTGTGCACCACTTCCTCATATTCTTTTTCTTACCAGAAGCTTCAAGCCGGCTTAATGGAGTCACCAACATAACCAAGCATCTGAAGACATGATGGTCGAATTGCCCTTGCTGCATACTGAGACCCACCGAAAGGCTTTTCTCTCTCATTCACCTTATAATTTGCTTTGGTGGAGTGTAATTAATCAAAACCCCAATTCTCTAAGTCACATGCATATGATGTTGTTTGTTGAAGATTAATTTCTTTAAAAAATATCAAGATCATCGACCTCAACACTACCGTGTTACTTTTTCTCTCTCCTGAACTTTTGAGCAAGTTCTATCATGGGTTCTACAAACAACATCTATGGCCCTTGTTCCACAATATGCTTTCTCTATCGCCCCATCATGGTAATCAATTTGAACGATCGCTATGGCAATCTTATGTTTCATTTGATGGTGTTGCCCAATTTCTTGAGGCAAAGATTCAATCAGTTGAAGATGGGTTTCTTCCTTGATAGCCCATTACCTTCATCCGAGTTTTATCGAACTCTTTCGGTGAGAGATGAGATCCTTATGTCCCTTTCGTACACAGACTTCTTGCCAAAATTTCAGCTATGCAACTTTTTTTATTTTTTATTTTCGTTAACATCAATTCATTTTGATGTATCCCCAAAGCATCATCCCCTTAAAGTGCTAAAAAGTGACTCCCATTTATCGATGATAATTGTAGATCACCATCTGATCAATCTGTTGGTCCCGGTATAAATCTTTAAATAAATAAATATATATATATATATATATATATAAGCCGAGAGGATTCTTCTCTCTCAAGCCAGGGGCACGTCTCAACCCAATCCAAAGGAATCCAAGGGGCACGTCTCAGGCCAATCCAAGGGGCACGTCTCAAGCCTTGATCGGTACCACTTGGGGAACGCAACAACTTTGTCTCTCGCACAATTCCCTTCAATTACAGAGAATGAGACTAGTTTATTCGGAAAATAATAAATAAATTAGGTAGTCAATCCCATATCACACAGAGCAGAGGATTGAAAATTCTCGTGTTACCAGTTCAAATTTGGTTCCTAGTATGTGGGTGTTCTGATCCCTTTTTATTTCTTTTCTTCATTTTCTATTTTCATATTCATTCGCTCTATCCTCCATTGCTTTTTGGGGGTGATGGAAGGATCGTACCATTCGAGCTTTTTTTTTTCATGCTTTTCCCGAAGGTATGGAAAAAGCAGCAATCAATCATAAATTATCAGATAAAGCAAACAATCGAACCAAACCCATAAAAAATAAAAAAAAATAAATAAAAGGATAGAGGTGATTTGAAATTGATCAAGGGAATGCATGCATGCTTATCCTTTAATTAACTAACACTGTGAATTATTGTGAACCAGGATAAGATAGCTGCATGCATACTTATCATTTAATTAATTAACATTGTGAATCAAGATATCAGCATACATACTTATTCTTTAATTAATTAACATTGTGAATCAAGATATCACTGTGAACCAAGATAAGATATCAACATGTGATATTTTGAAACACGATTACTCCACAATTTTGGGCATAGATTGTAACAAACAAATCACATAAAATTTTGGGCATAGATTGTAACAAACAAATCACATAAAAATAGGGAAGATGGAACCTGGGTGCTTTGATACCATTATTAGCAAAATTTGATGAAGCATATATAAGATCAAACCGGAGATCAGAGAAGGGGTGCCGTGAGGTTAGTGGTCGCAGAGCTCGGATTTTTATTCCTTCGCCTTTTAGAGAGATGTAATCTATTCATTGTTGTACACA